GACGGAGGCGTGCTCGATTGACGCGAACACTGCAAACTAATTCGAACTAACACAAAGCAACGCGAAGCGTTGAACATTAATGCAAATCTATACAACACAATAGCGAGCACAATGCAACACAGTGCTACATGTACCAATATGCAATCCAAAGCAATGCACATGTGTGCCTTCTGAAAGCAGTGCGACGCAAAGCAGTCAATGCTAGCACATGTCAAACAGAGCAAGCAGCGGAAAGCGGTGCCACACGAGCTCAAACAACAAGTCTATCTACAGCAAAGCAAGCAGTGCAAAGCAATGTCATGCAAATTTACGCATGCAGATACAAAGCTGCCCTGAGAACGCAAGCAAGGCAACACAATGCAAGACTGCGCAAGACAGCGCAATCCACTGCAGTACAAAGCAGTGGTGCAGAGCAGTCCGCGCAGTGGAAAACCAGTGCGAAAAGAGCGTAAAGGCGATGCAGATCGATGCAACGCAATGCACGCGAGGCGGGGATTTATCCCTATCCACCGCCCGGGAACCAACGTCCTGGTGCCCCAGCGGGCGGTGGATGTGCATACAGTTTGGCCCCCGGGGGCCCGAACATGTCCACATCCACCGCCGGCAAAGGCTCCGAAGACTGACCCTCCGGGCGAAAGGATCTGGAGCCCTTCCCGCCTCGGAGCACGGAGCAGCGCAGACCCGCGCGCAGCGGCGCGCGGAGCCACGGCGGGGCGCCCACGAGGGCGGCAGCGGGGCGGCCGCGGGGCGGAGGCGGGGGGGCGGCAACGCAGCGGCAGCGCAGCGGCAGCGGGCCGCCCACGGGCCGAACGCGAGAAAACGCGCCGGCCTCCTCTCGGCGGTGGGCAAACCTCCCTTCAGGAAACCTCCCCTTAGTGAAGACGGCCTGGGACCGAAACCGACGGACTTGGACCCGCAAAGATGACGGCCTCGACGCCCTCTCGCGAGCTGAAAACGGCCAACTCCTCAATCGACGTGTCAGGGCAGGAGGTCTATCCACCTCCGATCCTCAGCGCGTGCGCTGCAGTCGGACTTGATCGGAGAGGACACGCGACAGGACACAAGACCCTTCCGAGGGCCACGTCGCCACAGGAATGCAGGAGGCATGGGGCGCGAGGCACAGGACACAAGGGCAACCTTGATCTGGCAGGGTCGACCCACTAATCCGGGCCGACTGTCGTTGGGGAACAGCTCGAAACACACGCGGGAGCCCTCGTCCTCTCACCGCTGCTCCTCCACCTCCTGCTCCTCCTCAGGTTGCCCTGGCGGTTATGTTCGGCCCCACGCGCCTCTGGGCGCATGCCAGTCCTTCGGCCTCGGGATGGGCTGCGGGCACCTCGGGGGGAGAATGGACGAGGATGAGGAGGATGAGGAGGATGGGGAGCGTGAGGAGGAGGGGGAGGAGGGGAAAGGAGCGAAGGAGAGAGGATGATGATGATGATGATGATGATGATGATGATGATGATGATGATGATGATGATGATGATGATGATGATGATGATGATGATGATGATGATGATGATGATGATGATGATGATGATGATGATGATGATGATGATGATGATGATGATGATGATGATGATGATCATGATGATCATGATGATGATGATGATGATTATGATGATGATGATGGTGATGATGATGATGATGATGATGATGATGATAATGATGAGGATGAGGATGATGATGATGATGATGATGATGAGAGAGAGAGAGAGAGAGAGAAAAAAAAAAAAGAGAGAGAGAGAGAGGGAGAGAAAGAGAGAGAGAGAGAGAGAGAGAAAAAGAAAATGAACAAAGAGACGAAAAGAGGAGAGAGCAAGAGAAGAGAATGAGAGACAGAGGAAATGTAAATGGGAAACACGCAAAGAAAACGAGACAAAGGGAAAGACAAAAAGAGGGGCGAGAGGAAGAAAAGAGAGAGAGAGAGAGAAAGAGAGAGAAGCAAGCACAGACTGTAATGGATACATTTGCAGCACCCCGCAGTTGCGGATAAAGGGTGAGGGGGCGGCGGGGTCGTCGGCAGTCTGCGAGGCTAGGAAAGAGCCAAATTCTACAGCGAGCCCGCCGCAGGCGCCGAATTTTTTCGTCAGAACAAGCGGGTGGGTCGCGGGTGGGTCGCGGGTAGGTCGCTGGCGGGTCGCGGGTGGGTCGCGGGCCCGGTCGCGGGTGGGACGGCGACGACGACAACAAACAACAAAGAACGCAACAACAACAACAACAACAACAACAACAACAACAACAACAACAATTACTAGCACGTGGGGACACTCCGTTCTCACCAGTGCCAGGGTTTTCATAGGAGGCGGGCAATACCCCCACTTTGTGGGGGGGCCGGTTCAAGCTCTACCAAATTTCCAAACGACTCTTCGCCACCACCCACACCCAGCTTCCCGCCCTATGACGTTCGGACACTTCACTTCGTGGCATGCGGACGACCGTGGCTACTATTCAGGGCCCCGCGGCCGACGACGACGGCGTGCGCGCGCGAAGAAAAAACGAATGTGTCCCGCATGGTATTATTTGACAGGGATGATGGCCCTGGCAGGTGCGCAACCGTTGTCGCAGAAGTTCGAAAAAGTTGCTCGCAAAAGCCCGTTTGACAGAAATGTTTAAAAAGTGTTGGGTTTCCTACGAATCCGCAAGAGCGCGCGGGATGAGATTTTGACATTTTTTTGTTGAAAAACCATTGGTTTTTTGATGTTTTTATGTTAAAATCGCTGCGAACACTAAGGTTTTGGAAGGATTTCGTCTTGCGCGCGCGAATGTCCACTTTACCTTATTTTTTGCAAGGGATTCTTGAAATTTGATTATATTAGAACAAGAAATGTCATTTTCTATTGTTTTTTGCAAGGGAAAGCGGATTACAACAAAACAACCGGATCCTGTACACACCCTCTTTTCTGAGGCTTCCTCACGAAAATGATGAAAATGTAGCTGCGGCCTAGGCGGCGCAGGGGGGGCGCGCACCAGGGGGCCCAACAATAATTATTCTTTAGAATAAATAATGTTCAACAACAACAACAATCACTTTACCCGAACGCTCAGTGTTCTCACCAGTGCCAGGGTTTTCATGCGACGCCAGCCAATACCCCCACTTTGTGGGGGGGCAGTGCAAGCTCTACCAAATATCCACACGACTCTTCGCCACCACCCACACCCAGCTTCCCGCCCTATGACGTTCGGACACTTCACTTCGTGGCCTGCGGACGACCGTGGCTACTACACTGGCGTGGAGTACACACCCACAGAAGTTGTTAAGCCTACGTTCGTACACCCACAGAAGTTGTTAAGCCTTGTTAACCCACAGAAACCCACAGAAGTTGTAACATAAATGTTGGAAAACCATTGGTTTTTTTCAGGATTCGGACAGCGCGCGCGGGTAGAAATTTTGAAAAGTCGTGCAGGTGTTTTTCGAGGACCTACGGTGCGATTCGTGTGATTTTATGATGCGCGGTGCTAAAATTCTTAAGAAGCCCAATGGTTTTTGGAGATTTCGGCGTGCGCGCGCGAAGAAAAAACGAATGTGTCCCGCATGGTATTATTTGACAGGGATGATGGCCCTGGCAGGTGCGCAACCGTTGTCGCAGAAGTTCGAAAAAGTTGCTCGCAAAAGCCCGTTTGACAGAAATGTTTAAAAAGTGTTGGGTTTCCTACGAATCCGCAAGAGCGCGCGGGATGAGATTTTGACAATTTTTTGTTGAAAAACCATTGGTTTTTTGATGTTTTTATGTTAAAATCGCTGCGAACACTAAGGTTTTGGAAGGATTTCGTCTTGCGCGCGCGAATGTCCACTTTACCTTATTTTTTGCAAGGGATTCTTGAAATTTGATTATATTAGAACAAGAAATGTCATTTTCTATTGTTTTTTGCAAGGGAAAGCGGATTACAACAAAACAACCGGATCCTGTACACACCCTCTTTTCTGAGGCTTCCTCACGAAAATGATGAAAATGTAGCTGCGGCCTAGGCGGCGCAGGGGGGGCGCGCACCAGGGGGCCCAACAATAATTATTCTTTAGAATAAATAATGTTCAACAACAACAACAACCAACAACAACCAACAACAACAACAACAAAAACAACAACAACAACAACAACAACAATATACCCAAAACCTTAGATACCCGTTTTCTTCGTAGGCGATCGTACCCCACGTGGGGGCACATTTGCAGCGTGTATTCCGCGCAGCCCCCAAAGCAGGGGAAGAGAGGACGGATGGATTGAAGGGACAAGGGGAGGGAAGAGGATGGAGCACCAGAGAGAGAGAGTGAGTGGCATGAGGGCGGCGAAGTGCAGAAAACAAGTGCCAGAACCAGACGGTCAGATCGAGCGGGCAGGCCCTAACGGGCGGGTCGGGAAGGCGAGCCCAAGCGGCCAGGTTGAACAGACGGGTTGCTGAAGCGCCCGTCCTGCTTGAATCGCCAGGAAGTCTCGAGCCATGGCGCGACTCCCAAATACAACGTGAGGAACATCCACAGCGAGAGCGTGATTCCTAAGTGTCGAAGGCGCGGCGTCGGAACACATGGAAAAAATCCCACACGAGAGCGCGATTTTGCAATGCACTGTGAGGAAGCATCTGGCGGGCGCCGTTGTTGTTACTGTTTTGCAATCCGGGTGGCCAACGGTCCTGTTTGGTGACACCCCACCTTCCCTTGTCAGAAACAAGGTGTGAGCCCGGGGAGAAGCAATTTAATATGAAAGATACAACGATTGCCGCGCAGGGGGATCAACTATACTTATACTTAGAAATGAAAGCCAGGGACGAGGCTACATGGGGGCGGGGGGATGGGTCCTTCGGACTGACCTCTACGATTTCCAAAAACGTATGAGGTATGCCACGTGCGAGGGGCAACGAATGTTCACGCTTGCAACGCCACCCGGGGCTGCCAATACTTCGATCCACGTGCCCCCATGCAGGCGCACGCGCGACAGAAACATGGCAATAATGGTGGCATCCCGATAACGCCATGTAACCCAATCGCCCGCGCATAAAGTGCACCGCAAGCATATAGGACTGATGCGATGGTGGGGCAAACATCGCAGCTACACGGTCGAAGCAGTGTTGGGAAGTAAACTGCCCAACGTATCTTCTCGATGTACACGCACGCAAACGTGCGCTCGGGATTTGCGTGGGTGAGGCGTTGTCAACAATTCGCGCGCGCGCATGTCGTCTCCTCCCATCCCTTGTGCGCTCGTTGGAGGGAAGCCAGCAAATTGCGAACAAAAACGCCCCCCCTCCCCCCGTCCCCCGTGCGTTCATCGGGGAGATACAGACAAGAGTATCGCGAGAGCTGGGGCAGCGTAGTGGGGGCAGACATGTATTCGAGGGCTGCGTGGGACTCGATTGCCCCCCACGCTTTGCCATAAGGGCACCGACTCTGCCTGCCTGGTCACCGCTGCTTAAGGTCGCCGCGGAGTGCGCGAATGCGCTGCGCGGACATAGGGGCCCCGGCGATTCTCAGTGGCCCGAACAAATTAGCGTCAATTTAGAATGGAATGGAGCAAAGAAGCGCAATGAAGGTCGGCTTGAGCCAAACGTGCCTGTGCCAAAATGGCGACATAAGGGGGGGCGAAAACGGGGGGCGGGGAAGTGGGGGCGGGCTGGGCAGAAGGAGAGGGGGAGTAGGAAAGTAGGGGACCTGCCGGGAGGATGATGGGGGGAGCAAGGTCGAGGATGAGGGAGGGGGGGGGGGGGGGAGGGCGAGGAGGGGGGGGGGGGGGGGGGGCAGAGGGGGCGAGGCTTCGTCCGCCCCCCCTTATCCTCAGCTCCCTCTACCTCCTCGTTCGCCCCCTCCTCTCTCCTTCCCGCATCCTCTGCCTCCTCCTCGACGTAGTCTGTCTCCTCTACTCCCTCTATCCTTGACCCATCCTCTTTCGCCTTGCCCGCCCCCTCGTCCACTTGCTCGCGCTGTTTCCAACTGCCCAGGCGGCGTCGCGCTCGGCGAGCAGCTCCCCGAAGGCTTCGCCTCGACCATCGCCCGGCCGCCCTCGCGCCTTCAGCTCGAGGAGGTGGCGCCCCAACGCGTCACTTCACTGCGGCAGCGCGGAGACGGGGTAACGAGGACCTCCTATTCCTCTCCATTTTCTCCTCGCCCTCTTCATCGCCCCCCCGCATTCCACCCCCCCTCGCCCCCCGCGCCCCCGCCCCCCTCATCCCCGCCCCCCTCTTCCCCTCGCGCCCCCCCTCGCCCCCCCCCATGTCGCCCCTCCCCGCTCCCCCCTTCACTTCTGATTTCCCCTCCTTCTACTCCCTTCCGCTCCTCCCATTCATAATCCGCCTCCGCCTCCTCGTTCCCCTCCATCTGCCCCTCTTTCTCCGCGCCCTTCCGCCCGCCCCCCCTCGGGCGCGCCCTCGAACGAGCAGCCCCCCGACAAGAAGCGGGGAAAAGGCGCCGACGGCAGCGGAGGAGCCACTTCGTCTCCGTGGAAAAACGTCGCGTCACCTGGCAGGCGCGGCCCGGCCTGGTCGAGGGTCGCATGGTCTGCAGCGCCGACAGGGGTGCGAAGGACCGCGCCCTCGCCCCTGCCCTTGCCCCCGCCTGTGACCGCGGCGATCGCCCCTTTGGCGTCGGCCGCCATCTCCCGGGCGGCCGCCGCGCGCACCTCGGCCTCCTGCCCCGTGTCCTCCGCGAGCGAGACGCCCCCCGGGGGGCTGGGTCGGCAGAGAGGGGGGGGGAGAGCGCGCGCCATAGTTTTCTGACAGCGCCTAACAACTTGCACATGTGCTCGACGTTTTCCTCCGCGAGGACAGCGCTGAACATCGGGTGTGCCTTGAGCGACCGGTGGGCGAGGATCTCCGCGTGCCCCGCGTCGGCGGGGCCTGGAAGCGCAGTCGCCGCGAGGAGCTCGGCCGCCCCGACCTCCAAGGTCGGCGCCCCCAAATCAGCACCAACGTTGCGGATGGGCCCCCTGCGCAGGGAAGGCGGGGGGGCAAGTGGAGAAGGGGGGGGGGGGGGGGCGCGCGGGGCGCGGAGAGGGGGAGGGGGGGGGAGGGGCAAGCCTGCGGGGGGAGAACAAGGAGAGAGGGGGGGGATGATGGAGGGACGGGGCGAGGAGGGGCGAGGGGGGGGTTGCGGATGGGGGAGGGCAAACACGCCTTCACCTCGCCTTCTTGCTTCACTCCGAGCGGGGGGGGGGCGCCGGCAAGGAGGGGGGCGAGGGCGCGAGGAAAATGGGCGACGAAGAGGGCGGGGGGGATTTTGATTTCGCCGCGCGTCCCAAGGAAAGCTTTGCTCAGCCCCCTGAACGTGAACTCGGCAGCGTAGGCCGCGACGGGGTGCCCGACGGGCCCCTTCGCCCTCGCCGCGATGCCAGCGGGGCGCCCAACGCAGGCATTGTTGAAGTGCGCTGGCGGCGCTGCCTCGCAAGGGCGGCAGACCCAGTCGTCCCGGGGGGCGGGCTCCGCGTAGAACCACGTCGTGCGATCCCCACGCTCGAACCAGAAGTACCTGACATACTTGGTGATGCTAGGCGCAACTGTGGCGCGCGCGGCGCTGTGCTCCGAGACCGACAGAACGCGCCCGCCAGTCTTCAAGCCCGCGGTCGCATTGAAGAGGAACGCGCCTGGCTCGACCAGGAGCGCCAACCAGTTCGTCTGGAGATCCTGATCCAGATGGCACGGAAAGGGCTCTACAAGTGGACTGCCCACGATGCCCACCGTGCAAATCAACGTCATGGGAGATCCCTGGCATCGACGGCATCCAAGTGGAAGCGCCCAATGTTGCCGCCCCATCCATGGCATATTCTGTCTTGGTCAAGGCGTGCGTCACGGGTGCCGACTCGAAGTGCGCCGCCACTCCTGGCACCGCGAAATCGGGCAGGCGGTGGCGCAGGCTCTGCAGCATACCGCCCCCAACGAGAAGTCACCAGCCGTGGACTTGAACGCGCTGTGCTTCATCGCGACGGTCTTCGTCGTCTGCTCGTCCTCGAGGGTCGGCTTGGGCGGCGGCATCTCGGGCGCCTCCCAAACTCCACTCATCGCCGTGCGGCGGTACTTCGCCTGGCGACCCAAGGCGCCAGCCTTCGACTGCCTACCTTGGTCCTGGATCTCGCTGCGCGTCTCCTCGGCCGGCGCAGGCGCGCAACGCACCTTTGCAACCTCGCGCATCTCCTGCTGCTGCTTCGGCGGTGCCTCGGCGAAGTAGCACTCGAAGAAGCCAGCGAGCCACTCGCGAGAGATCACATTGCGAGGTCACATAGCCGTGCCAAATGCAGCCTCAAGGAATGGGTCGGCGCCGACGCGCTGCTCAAAATTGATTGTTCGATCCCAGACTTGTGCAATCCACTCCAGCCACTCCGGGTCCCCCGCCCTCGCTTCAGCGCCATTGCTCAACGCGCCCAGCATTCCCATGGGTGGACGCTCGGAGAAGACGCCCTTCTTCCCAATCCCTGCTGCGACGGGCTCCCACACGAAAGCGAAGGCCGTCTCCGCGATGGGTTCGTCTCCCTTGAAGCTCTGACCACCCTGGAAGTCGAACGACGACTGCAAGCCCAGCCTGAAAATGAAGTCCTGGTCTTGCAAGATCGAAGGTCCTCTTGAGTCCGCCCTCGTAGGCCTGGTTGGACATGCCAACTATCCAATCGGAACAACCTCTCTGTGTCTTCCCCTGGCTGATCCCTGCCTGGCTAGCGACCTCGAAGACCTGGCCGCACCTGGCAACGATGTCCCCCAACTTGTAGGTCGACCCTGGTGGTCAACGCGGACGATGTTAGGCGCGCGTTGTTCGTCGTTTTCCGCCGTAGAGCCTCCGCGTTATGATCCGACAACGCCGCTGCTTTCCCCTCGTCTCCTGGGCCGCCTCCGTCCTCGCCACCTCCTTCAGCATCCGGCTTGACGGCTTCGGGGGCATCGATCGCGCCCTCTCCTCCGAAGTGCGGGATGTCTTTGGCTGAGAGGACGACGCCCCCGGTGGTCCCGATGTGCATCAGGACCATGGCCATGACTCCAGCGCAGTGCTGGACTGTCTGGAACGTTCGCGACCAGCTCCCCCAACGACTCCTGGCATGCTTCACGCCCATGCTGTGGAAGACCGAGCTTTTCGGCTATATACCCCATATTGCATTGAATGTGAGGGTCGGCACCAAAGCCGACGACAAGGATGTGACCGAACATGTCGTGCGCAATCCACGGGTCGAACTCTTGGAAAGGCTTGAGCATCCAATTGAAATTATCTCGGACCTCCTGAACGGAGGCCAAGCACACGCGGTAGTTAGCGACTGAATTCAATGGGCCATGTACCCACTGGAAGAAGACGGCCCACTCGTGAATGACAAAGTTGCTTCCACATGTAATCGACGCCTCGTGGCGGTTCCATTCCCAGCGGCGCGGGGGGGCGTAGATAACGCCCCACAAATGGGGATCCGATAGTGGGTTACCAGTTTGGAGGGCCATCCAGAGCTTCCACCACCAATCCATTGCTATAAGGATTGCCGCGCGAGTGGCCACGTAACTTCCAACCCGCGCCCCCATCACGCATACCCAGAACGCGCGAGCGCCTCGGCCTCTGCAGATGCGACGGCGGTGGCCGAACTTCGCCTCGAGGTGCGTGGGCTGCTCGATCATGGCGGCATTGTTCCCGTTGCGCACGCCGAATCTGAAGTCAATATCGTCTGCAACGTCGTCCAGGAGATCCTCGGACCGAAGTGCGCGGCCCAATTGCCGAATTACCCCGGGCGTTCACCTCGGCCAACAAATGTGGGCCACTCTCACATGCACCATGCGACGACCCACATTGGGCCCAGCGCGCCAGGGCGCCATGCGTGCGCGGGCGCAACGAGTTGGGCGGGACGTTCGCGACGAAAGGGCACCATTGCCGGCAATTGCCCAGATCGCCGGCGCACTCAAGAGCATGCCAAAACCCATCTGACGCCACACCAGACAAGAAAGACTTGATGATGAGGAGGGCCCGATCCTTATCGCCCTTGCATCGGCGCGCCTGCGCGGGGCAACTGATTCCTGCGCGGCCCTTCCTCGGGCGCCCCTGCCCCCGCCCCCCGCCGCCCCTCTTGGCAACCACCTCTTGGGCGGAAGGGCGACGCGCGGGCCAGGAAGGGGGCGATCGGGCATTCGAGGGGAGGCTGCGCTGCCAAAATCAATCGCCCCACTCCTGGGTCCAGCGCGAAAACCAGGCCGCGAGGAGACGCGCGCTGATCTCGTCACTATGGCGCCATCTTGGGGTCGCACTCTAGAACGGGATCCGCGGGGCACTCAATGGCGCAGGACCTCGTGCTCGCTTCCAGGGCCACCCCAAAATGCACCCCAGCGTCGAGGGCGGTCTAAGTGGGAAAATCCTGCTTTGGAAACGTCACAAGGAAGAAGGCGACAATGATAAGGAGGGTAAACAGGACCTCCTGCTTCTTGGTGAACTTGCGGGTCAGCCACTTCGCATGGGCATGGGCCCCCGCGTGGGAGGCGTCGAAGACGCGGTAAATTTCCGCAGGGCGTAGCCGTCGTTGTGCACGTCGGCTTCGGACCTGATGTCGACCTGCAAACCCGCGCCCCGGAGCGCCACCCGCGCCGCGTGCGCGACGTGGTCCGAAGCCCGCGAGGGCTCCATCCCACTGGGTGGGCCCGCAGGGCCTCGCCCAGTAGCCAGGGGGGCTCGGGCGGAAGATCCACCCCTGGTGGTGGCCCAGCCCCAGAGGCCAAAAGGCCTGCGTCAAAATGGCCTTTGCCCACGACGGCGACGACAACAGCTACGCGGCCAGGCCCCATCTAAGAGGTTCGGATTCGGCCTGGCCACCCCCCCTCCATTTCCCCGCCCGAGGACGCGCGCGACCCAGGAAAGGGGCGCCTGAGGAAACGCGCCCTTCAGGAGACGGGCGACTCATAACAAAAAGCGACGATCATCCTCATCGGCATCCTCGCCATAATCCTCCTCTCCCCCATCTTCCCCCTCCTTAGATGCATCCCCGTTCAGAGCTGTTGCCCAGGGCGCCAGCCGCGACAACGACGACGTCGACGACGACAATGTGGGCAGCGGCGACGACGATGGACACCCGAAAAAGTCAGCGCTGACAGTTTGCCCCTCTGCTCCCCGCGCGAGGGGGGGCGCGCGCTCGTCGTCGACGTCGTCGTCGCCGGCGCCCCTGTTGGAACTGCCGTCGTCGTCGTCGTTATCGTCGCTTTCTTGGTCGTCGCCGTCGCCGGCGACGCCGATGTCGGATCGGCGCGGTCGCAGCCGTTGCCGTCGTCGCCGACGTCGGCGTCGGCATCGGCGCCGGCGTCGTTGCGTGCGACTTCGATCAGGAGCGCGCCGCCAGCCCGCCCGAACGCGCGAGGGGGGGGCAGAAGGGGGCGCATGGACGCGCGCCACATCGCTCGCGCCTCCGTGGATCAGGGGCAAAGCGAAGCGTGCTGAGCAACGGAGGTGGAGGGGCAAGAGAGGCCGGGCGCGGGCCACGAGCAGGAGGCGGGGGGATGGCGTGATGATGATAACGGGGGAGGGGTTGCATGAGGATGGACGGGATTACGTTTCCTCGACATAGTGCTCATTGCGTTTGGCGCGCGCGCACCCCGTTGCCCCGCCGGGGCATCAACCGAACCTGGCACCACTGATCGCAGAGCGCCCCCCTCTAAGAGCTGAGCAAGAGTCCGCAGCCACAGCCGCAGAGAGACGTGGCGCGTGAACCTATCTCCAAACATGCACACTTATTTTGGCGGCGCTGGAGGGGCGAACGCTGCCTCGCCTCTCTTCGGCTTATTGGCGGGATTCAGCCCGCACTCGGCGACGACGGCCTCGCGCTCGGTCTTGCCGTTGGCCTGCCCGTCGGAGCCGCTGGAAGGCGCGGCCCCGCCGCTCGCGTAGTCCGCGAGAGCCTCGACGTTGGCGCCGACGGCGCTGCCCATCTCGTAGCCCCCATGCTGGGCATCCACGAAGTTGAACTTGCCCGACCTGCGCTTCTGTTCCAGCAGGTTCATCAGCTGCCCCGTGGCCATTTGCCCCGGAGCACTTGATCCACCGACGGCATTTCGAAGGCCGAAAGCCGCCTTCGTCAACGGCAGCCTCGCTGCCACCACCGCGCTCGCCACTCCTGCCCAGCGCGTGAGCAGCGGGCCCGCCGGCTTCCTGAGCGCGCCGTTTTGCCGGAGGAATGCGCGGTCGCTCCAGCGCTGGTCAACGCGCAGCTCCGAAGTGCGCGGGGCAAATGTCGCGCGAACTTCCCCCGTCCAACGGCGTGTGATCGCGCGACCGGTGCCCGAGACGCTGAAGCTGTAGATGCCGCCATGTGCCCTCTTCTGGATCGAAGTCCTCGAGGTTGTCGTCGGCGCCGCGGCGTCCGTCGTCGTCGCGCGCCTCCGCCAGGGGCGCAGCCGCCCCCCCTCCATCGAGCCCGCCGCCCTCGCCGCGACCCCCGCTCAAGAACTCAAATTGAAACCTCCATCCTCGACAACAACTCAAAAGCGACCCCCAGCCAAAACGTTGAACGCGAGCGCTGCCAACAACATCGGCGGGGGGCACTGCGGGGCGGAGAGGGGCCGGGGGAACGCTCGCGCCCCCGGCGCCTTGATGAGCACGACGGCGACGGCCCTGTCGTCGCGATCAGCGCCGTCGATACGCACGCCCCCGCTCAGCGTCGTGAAAAGCTCGAAGAGGCGAAGGAGCATCGCGCGATTCTTTTCGCGGGCGCCCCCGATGAGCAAAGCGCCCTGGTTCTCGATGCCGAAGGCAACGGGCTCGCGCAAGCTCAAAGCGGGGCGCAACATCTTGACGCCCGCGCCCTTCAGCAAGTTATTGTCGCGGTCCCAAGGGCTGTCGCTGAAGTTGGCCACGCCCTTGGGCGCCCCTCTGGCAGCTCCGTCGCCGCGCGCTCCTCGTCGCGGTCAATTTCGGACACGGGTTTGTCCTGGATCGCGCCCGAGGTTTTTTTCTGTGGGGGGCCTTGGACGCGATCTCCACGCCGACGGGCTGCAGCGCGCCATGCCAGATCATGCCCTGCTCCACCTTGTGCGAGCGGGCGCTGTCAGACCGAAGGACAGTGGTCGCGCTCTCGAACCTGTCGGCGTCGCGCAACTCCCTCGCGCGCGTCTCTGCCCTGGCCGCCCGTTGGGCTGTTGTCAGGCCCGCCTCCGGTGGCATGGCCAAGGCGCGAAGCAAACGAGATCGAACAGAGTCGCTTGAGCACAAATGGCTACGGCACGATGATGACCGTGTTATGTTCGTGGCAGCGAATGCCGTTTACGTTTATCTTCGCCCTTGGCGGTGGCCGGATGTAGCTGGTAACCACGACACAAACGTGCACAACTGCCTAGTGGTCATCACCGCGGTGTTAAAGACAGCGGTCCCAATGACTAGATAAGACACAGAACGTACGCAAGCATCTATCCCCAACCCCACAAATTACTACCGCTCCAAATACGTAATAATATGTTAGGAGCAGGAACATACGCGCGAAACCACGGAAGCAATAGCACCACTGTTCATTCAAAAAATTCGGGCACGCATCAACCTGTGCACCCGAAGTGGCACGCGCACGACGCGCACCAACGAAACACCCCCCCAAGGCCACGATCGAGGTCGGACCCGAAGCGAGGGATAATAACACATCATCAACGCCTTTGGGCGCCACGATAGTGGCAGCGATTCGCGCCGCCCAGAGAGGCGCAATGCGAACGCGAAATGGCGCGCCCAACGCATGAAGCGCGCACAGGATTCACCCGCCCGAAGAGTTTCTGGACAACGAATGCGACGCCTGCGCCGCTGTTGGCCAGGAGATCGCAGCGCTGCGCGCTGTCTCAAGCCGGGGCCACCGTGCTCAGGATCAGGGCGCCCCGCTGACGAGGTGGAGGGCCCGAAACGCCACCGACGCCATAGGACGCGAATCCGAGGTTGGGAAAAGCGCGTCGCGCACTTCGCCGCGAAACCATCCATCGCCGCGTAAGCACGCGGAGCTGCGCGTGGGCACGGCGTCGCCCCGCCCAGGGCGAAGGCGTTCTGCGCGGCGACATGCGCCATGGTCGCCGACGCACAGGGCGACCATCAGTGCCCGCGCAAACGTGACGTTGCCTTACCACCGTTGGCGCGCCAGCGGAATCGAGTCGTTCGAAGCGCGCAGTCGCTGCGACAAACCGTTGGAATGGTTCATCTTGTACATTTCCCAAGGGGGAGGGGGCCTACCAAGGGCCCCGTCTCCCCCGCCCCCATCGAGCCTCCTTCGAAAATCCGTCAACAGCATCAACAGCAGCAACCACCAAAAACATCAATAATCAGTTTAATATTGTTCGCGCTTGTGTGCCAGCGTGCCACTCAACACGTATATCCCAAACCTCGGTACCCGCCCGCTTCGTCTTCGATCGTGCCCCCTTGGGAGTATATAGTCCTTACCAGCCAAGTGCATGTAGCGCAGCCTGTAGAAAAAAAAAGGCAAAAGAGGACGGATGCAAGGGGGAGGGAAAGGGATGGAGCACGAGAGAAATTAGCAGGAGGGGGGCTGAACACACAAGGTGGAACCAGACGGGCAGATCGGGAGCGGGTGGGCCGGGAAGGCGGGCCCAGGCGGCCAGGTCGAACAGGTGGGTTGCTGAAGCGTGATTCATACATGAGTCGCGAGTCTCGAGCGATAGCGCAATTCCCAAATAACTCGTGAGGAAAGATCAGAACGAGAAAATGATTCCTGAATGTCGAGGGCGCGGCGTCGGAATAAATTGAGGAAGTCCCACGGGAGAGCGCGATGTTGGAATCTATTGTGAGGAAATATCCGGCGGGAGCCGTTGTTGTTGTATCCCGGAAGCCAGAGGCACAGTCTGAACATGAAGAATTCCCCTCTTTTTTATACAAAAAAGAAAACAAACGCTGCGAGGTGGCACTTCCATTAAAGAAACACTACGCGCACGGACCAACAATACAAGAATCAGGAGTCACTCCGCACCGCAGAATCCCACCTCAGCCACGCACCCAGGAACAGTGTATGGCCGCTCGGCCTCCTCATTCTGATATACATGTATGTACGTACAACTATAACCAAACGCAAGCGATGCAGTGTGTCTGCGTGGGTGCGTGTGTGTATATGTGTGTGTGTGTGGGTGTGCGTGTGCGTGTGCGTGTGCGTGTGCGTGTGCGTGTGCGTGCGTGTGCGCGTGCGTGTGCGTGTGCGTGTGCGTGTGCGTGCGTGTGCGCGTGCGTGTGCGCGTGTGCGTGTGCGCGCGTGCGTGTGCGTGTGCGTGTGCGTGTGTGTGTGTGTGTGTTGTGTGTGCGGGGGGGGGGAGAGCCGCTCCTCCGACTGACTCCGCCGCGTCGCTGCGCGCTGGGCGGCGACGCGCGACGCCGAAGAATGTGCGCGGAGGGGGGGGGGGGAGGAGGGGGGGGAGGAGGGGGGGAGGCGGAGGGAGGAGGGAGGCGAGGAGCGGATGGGGGGTAGGAGGGGGGGAGGCGAGGAAGGAGGAGGGAGGCGGGCGAGGAGGGTGCGGGAGGGGAGAAGGCGGAGGGGGAGGAGGCAAGGAGGGGAGGAGGCGGAGAGGGATGGAGTCGAGGAAGGTGGAGGCGGAGGGAAGATGAGCGAGAGAAAGGGGGAACACAGGGAAGAGGACGAGGAGAAGAGCAGGAGGCAGAGTAGTGGC